CTTAACCTGTTCTTTCAAGTCTCCCAATGGTGCACTCACTGCCACCGTTACTGAGTCCATCCACCTTGCTGCTGGTTGTCCTCTTCTTCCCTTTCCTTTCCCAGCATTAGAGCCTTTTCCAGAGAACTGGGTCTTTGCATGTGTCCAAAGTATGATAATTGGAGCCTGGTCATTTGTGCCTTGAGTGAGAACTCTGACTTGATTTGTTCAATGATCCACTAGTTTGTTTTCTTGACTGTTCATGGTATTCTCAGGAGTCTTCTCCAACACCAAAGTTCAAAGGCATCAATACTCGTTTTATCCTGCTTCTTTAAAGTCCAACTTTCACTTCCATAGAGTATCACAGGGAATACCATGGCTTGCATAATCTTTGTAGGTATAGACACATCATTTGAATATATTTTCCAAGGTCTTCATGACTGTTCTATCAAGTGCTAGTCTATGGTGTATTTCTTGACTGCTTGTTCTATTACTGTTGATGGTTGATCCTAAAAGGCAGAAGCTATCTACCACTTTGATATCTTCATTGTCAATTCTAAGGCTGGTTATTCTACCTGTTGTACCTCATTAGTTTGGTCTTCTTTATATTTAATTTTAGTCCCATTTTTTCACTATGCTATTTGACTTTTAGTACTAGGGCTTGCAGATCCTTTGCATTTTCGGCTGTCAGAGTAGTGTCATCAGCATAATGCAGGTTATTGATGTTTCTTCCTCCAGTTTTAAAACCATGCTCATCTTCTTCCAATCCAGCTTCCCTTAATATATATTCAGCATGTAGGTTTGAATAAATAAGGGGGGAGTATGCAGCTTTGTCACGCTCCTTTGCCAACCTGGAGCCAGTCTCTTTCACCATGTTTTGTCCATATTGTGGCTTCCTGACTTCTATATAAGTTTCTCATGAGGACAATGAGATGTTCTGGGATTCCCATTTTTTCTGAGCTGATCAGCGCAATCAAAGGCTTTTCTATAACTGATGAAGCACATACTGTTATTCTTTGGCTTTCTCAATTATCAGCAATAGTGCCTTATGGTCCTCAGCCTTTTCTAAAGCCATCTTGAACATCTGGCATCTCTTTTTCCATGTATGGCTCTAATCTGCATTGGATGATCCTAAGCATTTGCTGACATGTGAAATTAAGGTTATTGCACAATGGTTTGCACCCTCCTTTTTTTGGTATTAGAATGTAGATTGACCTCTTCCAATTGGTTGGCCACTGTGTTGTTCTCCAGTTCTGATGGCATAGCTTGGTTAGAAATTTGACTGATTCTTCTTCTATAGTTGTCTGCCATATTCCAGTGGGTATTCCATCAGTTCCTGTAGCCTTCCAACTTGGTAGTGACCAGATTGCTGATCTAACTTCATCTTCTAGTAGTAGAGGTTCTTGTAAGTAAGGAATATTTTGGATGTTGACATCTCAACTGTATAGTGTTTCAGTATATTCCTTCCATCTTCCTTTGATCTCCTTTGAATGGATTACTATCTGCCCATTGGTATCCTTTAGCATACCAGTTTGAGGTTGGAACCTCCTTCTGAGTTTAGATGTTATTGTAATATTGCTTCTTGTCTCTTCTAACAGCTCTCTGAAACTCTTTGTTAAGTTCTTTTCTGAGATTTTTGTCTTTCTCGGCTTTGGCTTCTCTTCTCTTCTTGGCAATTTCCACAGTTTGTTCTGACGCCCAGTTTGCTTTCTTCTCTTTCTTCATTTTTGGTGGTCTCTTTTCACATTCATCCTTAACTATTTCTAATTCCATAATTCATATGGTTCTCTATCAATGAAGTTCAGGACTTCAAAGCAATTCCTGATGTTCTCCTTGAAACTGATGGGTATATGTTCAAGATCATATCGTGAAACTGGCTTTCTTTTTCTTCTTTAGCTTAACTTGAAGCTTGCATGTGAGCAGTTCATGGTCTGTTCCGCAGTCAGCACCTGGCCATGTCTTTGATGCTATAATTGAACTCCTCTACCTCCTTTTAGAAATAATATAGTCAGTTTGATTTCTACATATTCCATGTGGTGATGTCCATGTATAGAGACATCATTTTGGTTGTTTTGAGGCAGTGTTAGCTATGAAGAAATCATTGGAGTGGCAGAAATTGATAAGTCAACCCCTGTTTCATTTCAGTTTCCTAAGCCATACAATCCAACTACATTTTCCTCTTTCAAGTTTCCAACTTTGACATTCCAATCTCTAATCACAAGCAGCACATTATTAGGATTCAGTTATAAATACAGACATCTTTTCTTTAGTTTCAAATATCTACTTTCTGAATAATTTTTATTATTCCTTTCTAACCAATTCCTTAAGAAGTCAGATTTCTTCAGACATGGTATGAAGAAATTTGTTGGTTTAAGCTATGTGAGAGGCTCATAAAAATTCAGCACAAAATATCAGCTAGGAAACCCTTTCTTAAAGCAAATTAATTTCTGTTGTACCAAGCCCAAATGATAAACTTTGCTAAGAAAATGGCTAATGCAATAACAATACTGAATCCAGTCTTAATTCTAAAATAATCAGTGGATTGTTTTAAAATTGATTTTAACAGAGCCAAGTGTAGTATAGGGGAAATTAGCTAGTGAATGTCCTTCACAGATTCTGCATGTCTCCGGTAGGTAATCATGTCTTGTAAATAATGATTGTAAGCAAGAAGCATGGTTTATAAAACCCTTCTTTGAGTTTATGGGTCATGAGACTCATCCAGTTGCTCCATAGTGGAGGTACCTGGTCTGAGAGCAGCCTTCATTACAAGGTAATGTCAGGTCCTTCCTTGCAGATCAATTAATGAAATAACATCCAGTAAAACTGCTACTTTTCCTCTCATTTAAGAGTGGTTATAATGTCAAAATCTCTCAAACTAGGGTGATGAGATCTTCTTGTGCAGCACAAAGTATTCTAATCTCTCCTCTCTGAAAGCACTCCAAGTGAGGAAGCTGTTCAGGGCACATTCTATGCAAGTAATACCTTTCTCCCATTGACGCTGTCTAGAGGGTTCCCTTTCTCTGATGTAATACATTGAATAATTCAGGGAAATAGATTGGAATGCCTTTCCTCTTCAAACTATACATGATTATTTCTTAGGATCATCTGTACTTCAGATTATGATTAATAAAAACTTACAGTCCCATCAACTTTTTTCAGTACCTGCTGTTTGCTGTGAAATATGGCTAAAAGCAGCCTTTTGAATCTTGTTATGGATTATCTCCATTACTGAAGTCTCCTTAAAACCCAGTCTTGGTCTTCTAATGTATAAACTGGAGTTCATTTTGTGAACCTCAAAGTATTTCTATATAAGAAGTTTTCACCATAAACATAGCACTAAAAGTTTTAGTAAAACACTAAATCCTTGGGTTGCATACATCTTTACCAGCTTATTAAATATATGAGTTCTAACACTATAGCTGTTACAAATCTATCAAGTTTCCTCAGCTAAAATGAAATTCTATAAAATTCTAGATCAAATGTAGAACCTGCCCCTGCCTGCAGTTACTTAAAGCAGCCATGCCTTTTCCTAGGATTGCATTTAATTCAAGGGGTGGCAAACAGATGCTACATTTGTATTTTTATTCACTTCAAAGGACCATTTTGTCTTCAAAACCTAAACACTGCATAGACCTAAAATGTACCAGATATGATTACGGTGTCCCAGCCAGATAATTCTCATATCCACCTCTGTTTTTTCAGCAATTTTATAGTCATTTCTTTAGTTGTTCTAACTTACTAAATTAGTTTTGTGTCTTTTGGATGTCTTCTAACAACTTATTTATACAATAGTACAGTACTTTAGTTAATTTTATTTTAATTGCCTTATAAAATTGTCTATAATTGAGCTGATGGCCGTAATAAAGATTTGATTGATTGATTTTTTGACTGACTGACATCATCATTGCTTTTCAAAGCATGAGTAAATAATTATTGCATGAGCTAATTTGTTAGCTTAAAGAGAAAATTATTTAAAATACTATGCATTTTTTGTAAAGACTTGTAAGCTTCAGTTTCCTTTTTTTATTTCAGATGGATCATATGTGTCAGTTCCTTCTCCTCTAGGGAAGATTAAAAGTATGACTAAAGGTATTTTGATTACTAAGGATTTTCTTTTTAATATCTCATCACAAATACATTTATTATAGGCAGGGCAAATTTTGGAGAAACTGGTTTTATTTATTTATAGGGGTTTTTTCTCATTCTGAAGTTTTATTAAGGCTGAAGTGGGTTAGATTTGTCTTCCCAACATATCCACGGGGACATTTAAATCGGTGAGAGAACTACTGAGCCTTTTTATCTTGGATGGGATACTGCCTACACTACCTGTTCCTCAAGTGAGGCTTGCCAGCTTTTCCATTCAAATCTTCCATGTATTTGAGACCTTGCAAGAAATTTAACAGGCCGAGCCTTGGCAGCATCTCCATACTAGGGACAAAAAATATACCTTCCATTTGTTCCCCCTGTAAGATACAAAAATACTATCAGAAATAAGGCAGGAAACCTAAGCACTATAAGCTCAGCAATATTGAAAATTGGTAACACCAGAGATGAGGCCAAAATAGAAAATATATTTTATTTCAAACCTGAAATAAACCATTGCAACCCAAACGTTCTGTTGAATTTGAGTTGGCCATGGGGTGATGGGAAAAACTCAGACAGATTTGGGTGTTCTGTGTTGTGTTGAAACAAAACTCAAAACGATTTCGAGAAATAGTGAAGACTCAAAACTCTCTTTGAATGCAAAAATCTGGATGCTCGCTAGATAGCAGCAAAGAGATACCAAAAGCGCTGGCTCTTTGTTGCCACCATGCAAATGTTTGCAGCTAAAATAGGGTAGACAGCCTAGTCTGCCTTGAATTAAGAGTAGCACAATAATTTGCCTTAGAATGTAAGCATTAATTGAACTCTGTGTTTTTGATCTCATACAAGATACAACCCTTTCAGATCAACTATCTGTTCCAGGGCAGGAACTCATCCTGGCATAAAATACTACATTCTAGTCAGTCCAGTAAGGGGTTATTTTAAGCAATGTACTGAAATAAAAGTCAACCTCAAAACTCAGGGCAGATCCATACTTTCTGCTTGGCCCATCACCAATATGGGCCACTCCCCGCTTGCTGAGTACAGGAGAGAAAATGTCATCCTCCTCCCACTGCCACCCCATTGCAAACGCACGTCACACCTGGGCTTTCCAGCTTCAATTCAAAACTGCTGTTTTCTGACCCAAGCCAACATAAACTCTTCACAGTGGATGGTCTCCAGCAATTTGTTCCACTCCAGTAGCAGCCCAGCTCCATTTAGCTGCAGTGTTTGGCGCACCTCCTCCCCTCCAATCGGTAGTTGCCACCCTGTGCAGCCATTCATCCTGGGCTGCCGAGCTGTTATGTTATCTGCTGGTCAGCAGTTACTATTCTATTTTTTTATATATAATCTTGAGGTTGTTCAAACAATGGTCCATTAATGGAACTATCCTCGCCCCTAGACTCTGATGCTCCATTCAACCCTTACATTTCCCAGTGGGTACCCTTTCTGTTTCACTCCAGGCTGAGTGAAGCATTGTCCCCTTCCTTTCCTACCCCCTCCCTAGAGTACTGTAAAGCTTCCCTTCTCTTCCCTTCCTTGTAATGTATGTATGTATGTATGTTGGAATGGAGTAACAACATTATTTCTATAAAGCTGAATTATCAGTAGGAATGAAATAACGACCTGTTCCCTACTGCTTTGATTATTGTAGCATGACAGCAACAATGGTACCATAAGGGGGAAAAGGAAAAACAGAAGAGTCTGTGTTAGTATTAAAGGTGATAATGTGAGAAGGAAGAATGAAGGCATCCATGTGTGTAAATATCTTGGGAAGGAGGCAAAGCAAGGGTAATAGTGAGGAGGAACAATCTCTAACAGGAAAAGGCAGGCATTGGTACAGCAGTCCACACAGGAGTTGATCGGTGAGATTTGCCTTCCTTGTGTGGATGGGAAGGGAAGAAGCAGACAAATGATCAATCAGGTCTTAGACTCTGTTGCCAACTCACTCAATCCAGGCTGAGATTTCTGAAGTTGGCTTAAGAAACAGAGGGGAGCAGCATGGCAGACAAGCAGCTTAGGTGGCAGTGCAGAATTGCCAAAAATCCTTCATTTAGTTTTAAGGTTGGAATTGAAGCTAATTTTCAGAAATGGTTTCAATTAACACCAATGCATTGTATACAGCAGTTAAAATAACAGCCTTCCAAACACAACGGTCAATTTCTACTTTGCAGCTGAAGCAGTCAATTTACTCTCTTTCTTGCTGCAGCTTGTTACCAAGACAATATAATGTGCATAAACATCTACAGTCATTTTTCTGGCTAGACTCAGTCCAAGGCTCAGGACTGGTATACACAAAACAGCTTTTTATGAGAATTAACTCTATACAGACAGGAAGGGCAAGAAGCAGGGGAATGACCAATCAGGTCTTCCGGTGGGCATAATCCAGGCTGAGACTAGCTTGGTCCTGTTGCTAACCTAATGCAACCCAGGCTGGCATTCTGAAGCCGACTTAAGAAACAACTGGGAGCAGTGTGGGAGAGAAACAGCTTAGGCTGCAGTGCAAAATTGCCCTCAGAACCGTTGACTAGTGTTTCCTCTTTGGAACATTCTCTTTCTGGAGGTTTGGTGGCACCCTACCTATTGGCATTTTGTCAACTAGCCAGAGGAATGTTGTTTCAATGGGCATTTGGCCCTTAGAGTAGTTATAATAATGGGATGCCTTTGAAAGACAGTGGTAACTATGTATACGTCATACTTTTGTTTTCTTTGTGACTTTCCAGTATCCCACCCCAAGTCCTTGTTGACTGGGTCAGGGAATAAATATTGTTAAATAAATAAACAAACTGGGATGGAAGGCTAAGAGAGAAGCTCTCAAGGCAAGCCTCTAAAAAAAAAAATCAGAAAAGGAAAGCTCTCTGTTAATTAAATACATGCACGTGGGTATCTAGTGTTGGTAGCAGTTCTACCAGACAGACAAAAAAACTAATTGGAAGAATGGATTTCTTCAAACAAGCAAACAGGGATTATTGAGGGAGCAATGGATTTTTAGGAGATGAGAATGCTCTTTTACATTCAGTAGGAGGCTTTGAAAAGCAAGGAAGTGAAGGGTTGGGGAAAACTTCTCTCACTCTCTTTCTCTCTGACTAAAAGTACCACCCATTCCATTACATTAAATCAAAATTGAAATTTGAACAGAATGGACCACCGATGAGGGTTAGGAATGGAGCACAATGTGCTGGGGTCATTCTCCTTTCTCTGTGGGCAGTTCCAGTGTTGGTGGGGGAAATTTAGCCTGACCCCCTGATGTGTGGGGTACCTCAGGGATTGATGCTCTTCCCCCCTCCCCCATTTAACATATACATGAAACTACTGGGTGAGATCATCCTGTAGTTTGGGGTGAGTTATCATTAATATGCTGATGATACTCAGTTGTATACTTTGACCCAAGTCAACCAACTGATCTTGTGAGCTGGCTGTGCCCATTCCTGGATCCAGAGGGCCTCCAGGCAGTCACTCATGTCCTGGTCACCTTGTATATGGACTATTGCAATATGACCATGTAATACCTTTGGTTTATGAATTAGCTTCCAGGTGTAATGCAAGGTGCTGGTTATCACCTATAAAACCTTTCATGGCATAGGACCTGGTTATCTGAGGGACTGTCTATCTTCAGAGGTTTCTGCCCTTTCTGTTTGGTCAGACAGAACTGGCATGCTTGGTCTTACCACACAAACAGTGTCTTCTGAGGGGACCCAGGAAATGGGCTTCTCTGCCACTGTGTCTGCTCTGTGGAACAACATTGCCCTAGAGATACCTATGCCTTCTACTCTGCCTTCATTCTAAAAGTCATTAAAAACATAGCTTTTCCTCCAGGGACCTCATAGGGTTTTCTCTGCTGAGTTGAATGTTTGACTGTTCTGGACATCTTACGTGTCTTTTCTGTTTCCCTTAGGGTTTTTGTATTGTTGTTATCATTGCAAGCCACCCAGAGTTGTCTGGAGTTGGGTGGCCTAATAAGAATAAATAAACAAACAATATTAGCTCATAACTCATTCTTCAGTTTCTCTCCAATGGCAGTTAGATCCAGAATGGTTCTCTTACTGTGACATGTGTTCTTTAAATTCTTGCTGATTCACCCAGATCCCACTTCCAGGCTAAACCAATAACACTAGGGTTATGACTAGCTCTTTCTGTTGTACCAGTCCAGACAGGAGAATTCAGAAGATAACACCCCAGTTATAAGAGACAAGAGAACAATGATTATGTCACCTAAAACAGAACAAAATACTCAAAATATTTGATATGCAAAGCAGTCATATTTTGGTCCAAAACAAAGCATCACCATCAAAATATCCCAAACACAAGTATTTTGTTCTATATATGAGCCACTTAAAACAGCTGTATTCAAACCATTTTGCACACCTCAAATAAGAAAGTGCCTAATTCCATCCTGGCCTAATTTCAGTAAGAGGGAGGAAAATACAGATGAGGCAAATAATAATGTGGAGTGAGATGGAACATATAAGGATGTCAAAGCAAGTGGTAAAGTCTACCTTATAATAGGCTATGCTTAATAAGTAATATTTAAAGGTACTGTGCAATAATCAGGGTTTAACATGTATAAGCCACTCCACATACAACATTTCCACTATTTCCAAGTTAGTTGTGAAGCTTCATGCTCACATTCCATTATCAATGTTGGACAGAAGAGACTATCAACTTTCTACCGGTGAGCTAAGGGAATCAGTGTAGAAACAGATCTAGAGCAGAACCTTTGAAATGAACAGAGAGAGTTCTCAACTGGCAGGAAATCCTGCCTTGTCCCACCCCTGGCTTCTCATACCTCCTTCCTATACTGCAGTTCACATGCCTTGGTGCCACACCACCATCTCTCTGCTCTCTTTAAAATAAGCGACGCAATGGTTTTCTTTTTGCTATATTGGTGCAATAGCATAGTGGAGACTATGAGGCATATGGCTCAAGCTGAGTGTTGATTTGTGTTTCTGCATTGTCCGTTGGAGGAAGCAGTTGTCAGCTGAACCATGGAACTCAGAATGTCCCCATCAAGAACTACTGTTGTGGTGGGGACATTCTCAGGACTCTTTGTAGGGACATTGTGGGGAGGCTGTGTGGAAGTACCTTAAAAAAGATGTCAGTGATTTAGATGGTTGGAGGTTTGGCTTAAATTCAGTAAGAACTGTAGTTGTGAAAAGTTCTGCATGGAGCATAAATTATTCATTTACATTATTGCAATATTTCTTATGTCACTGAGACATCATTCTTACTGAGAATTGGGTTTTTTATGTATTACAAAATTAGTGATGATAGCAACATAAGTGTAAATTTTATTTGATTTAAAACACCTTAATTTTAAGAGAGTCTTTAAAATTATGTGTATGTTTGAGGCTAAAATGAGTTGATCGTTCTCATGATGCATGTCCTTTATTAATTTTCTTCCAAAATAAAAGCTCTGGGTGCCTTAAGAGTTTTACCCTACCCATGTAATCAGAAGTCATATTCAAATGTTTCTTTAAGAAATGTTTTGATAAACCTCTTATAGCACAGCATGTGGATCAATAAGTTAGTCTGCAAATTCAGTTGTGTATCAAATCCAATTCCAGGAGTCACTGAACAGTAGATCAGAATGGCAATAGAAACAGCTTCGTAAGCTTCTGTTAGACAGAAAGGGAACTAATTCCTTGTATAAAGGATTTTCTGCAGCCATTACATGAAGCAGATAGAATATGCATATGAACAGAAACACTGTTCTTTTAGTGATAAGCTTCTAAACCCAAAAAGCTCCAAGACAGATAGGATGTTGAAAATCTGTTTATTATGTGGATTCATTGTAAGGTACTAAAACAAAGAGTAGCAGAGGTACTGGCCAACCAATGTATAATAAAAAAAAAAGAGGTGCAATTTATTTATTTGTTTTATAGTATGAAAATTTGTTTTATAGTATGTAATTTATTTATTTGCTTCTAAATTCAATGCTTTTACTAAACAATTTTCCTTTGCAGAAAAGACAGATGTTCTCCTACTCCGTGCTGGTTTGCCATCCCATTTTCACCTCCAGCTTTCAGAAATAGAGTTTCATGAAATTATTGGCTCAGGTAAAAGAAAGTGGAAAATATGTTCATTTTAGTATACACACACATACACTTATCAGTGTGTTCTTAATCTGTTGCAGGATCATTTGGAAAAGTGTACAAGGGAAGGTGTAGAAATAAAATAGTTGCAATCAAGCGGTAAGCATTAATAGTATTTTCTATTCAATTATTTTATTAATTAATGTTTTTGAAGTTGCATTCTTAAAGCTATTTTTACATATATATTCCTTTTCTTTCTTTATCTATCAGTTACCGAGCCAATACCTATTGCTCTAAATCAGATGTCGATATGTTTTGCCGTGAAGTTTCCATTCTGTGCCGACTCAATCATCCCTGTGTTATCCAATTTGTTGGTGCTTGCTTGGATGATCCAAGTCAGTTTGCCATAGTCACTCAATATATATCTGGAGGATCCCTCTTTTCACTGTTGCATGAACAAAAAAGGTAAATTGACCTGCACCAAGTAAATAGCTCTTCCCAATCATTTTAATGTAGAATGGATTGGCCATAGGTCAGCACTCAAGGAGAGTTTCATGCATGGCTGTCCTGTGCTTGTCCAAAGGCCCACACTGGCCCTAGCTATAGTTGGCTGGAAGAGAGAAGATGACCAAAGTAGACTGAGCTCCTTAGTGATCCAGTGTAAAAGGAAAGATGAAGGAAGGAGATGAGGCAATGAAGGAAGGACTGTGGAAGATGAAAAGAAAGGATATAAGTGACACTGGGATGAAAGAAAGTAAGAGAAAAATAAAATGTACTAAAGTAAAATATAGGCCAGTTTTTCTCAACCTTGGCAGCTTTAATCTGGGTGGACTTCAGCTCCCAGAATTCCCCAGCCAGCATGCTGGCTGGAGAATTCTGGGAGTTGAAGTCCACAAGCCTTAAAGCCACCAAGGTTGAGAAACACTGATATAGGCAGAACTAGCAGTTGGGAAAGCAATGTAAGTCAAGAGAATAATGAGGTTGCATCTTACAGCAGAGAAATACAAACCAGACAGGCAGGAGTACCCTGAATGCAGGGACATTGTCAGGCAGGGTTCAGAAGCTATAGAGCCAGCCAAAATTTCACCTTCAGTCCTGAGCTGTGCTTTTCAAGTCCCCAGTAAATGACTGCCACCACCTAAGCATTCCTGGTAATCATGTCTTTCCTTTCATCCCAAGAACATTTAGAGAGGCTGAAATACATATCTTACTTATATTTTCTCCCATGACATACCAAGGCACACAGAAACAGTTGCCTGTTACAGAAGACCCAATGAAGAAATAGGAGATTTAAGCCCATAGTGATCATTTGCCTGATATAGGGGTTTTGTTTTTATCTGAGTCATGGATTGTTTAATACATCTCTCCACAGGGAGGCTGTGACAATTACCTTTGAAAAAAATTATTGAACTTTTCTCAGTCATATTGATACAGATTCCTCAATGAAGATAACCAGTTGGACAAATAGTCCATGTCTACATTTCATTCTGGCAGCTGTTGTTTCAGGGGACTTTCTTGCTTAAGTCAACTGTCTTTCTATAGACATGGTTATAAGTATGAGGTGCAGACTTAGGCATCCTTTCCTTATCACAATGAAACCAATATGATGTCCATCATGACATCATGACACAAGCTCTGTTCTTTTTTTATTTGTGTTGCAATATTGCATGAAAGTCTTTCATCCTTGCCCTCCAATGGACTGCTGTGCATACTGAAATGTCACTTAATGCCATTACCACCATTATTAACCATACGCCGCACTCTCCATCGCTGTGCCTGGTTTAATTGATTTACTCATGATGATTTCAGGGATCTTACTGGAGATTAAAAAAAAATCTAAGAAGGAAAACACTAAATGAACATCTCCCTTCCTGATTTGATCAGTCTCTCCATTCCACAGTTTCAATAGAGTTGGTTCAACATCTGTATTTTTAAAATATGACTAAAAGCAGTCAGCTAAAAATATTTATGATTGTTATGTAGGAAATAGTAGCTGAATCATAACGAATCTTAAGCAAACGGGTTTCTACATTTGGCCATCTATTCTGTCCATATTGATTACCAGATACGTTGGCCGTCTGATTTTGCTCTCTAACATTGCGATTTGCATTAGACAGAAAAATACAGGAAAGGATTGTGCATAACAAGTGGGTTTAGGCTTCCTTGATGAAAATAACAAATCTATCCCTTTTATGTCTGCCTCAGGGGAGCTGCCATTTACCATGAGATTAAGTAAGGCATGAGCATAAAGATAAATCCCAGGAACAACAACATGCACTGAGGTTGGGGGGCAAGGTGGACAAATAATGAGATCATGATATCATTTCACAAATAATGCTACTTACATACTTGCATCAGACATTGTGACATGATTGGCACAAACTGCATAACTCTATTCTTTACACAATGCACTTGTCATCATTTTGACATCCTAGTAGCCTGTAATGCTCATCACGAGGGGTGCTCTACCTCAGTGTTGTCCAAACTTGGCCACTTTAAGATGAGTGGACTTCAACTCCCAGAAT